AATTATTTAGGTAAATTATTAAACTATTTAGGTTAATTTTCAGAACACTAAAATAAAATGACAAACTGAAAAAAAGAGCATTTTCGACACTTCTTTCTTTTTCCTTTTAATAAGAGTTTTAAGGTCACAAAAGCAGCTAGTAATATTTGTGCTATGTATGAAGAGATTGTCATAACTTAAAAATCTCTCGTAATTGGCATACCAAATTTAAAATTGGTAATTTTTACCTCAAAGACACACCTCGTTTTGACAGTCCAGATAAGTTTTATGTAATAGTTGTAGATAAGTTAAACTATTTTTTTGCCCAATAATTCCCGTCAACCGACAAAGGAACTTGCAAAGAAATATAATGTTTTCACACTTCAAACGCTTAAAAAATGTAAAAAAAATTTAGGAACTTATTTGAAAATTGGAACTTAAATAAAAATTTAAAAAAGGAACTTAGTTTGGTACTTCGTTTTGAGCAGTCCATATCAGTTCGTTGCAAAGCGATTAAACTATTTTTTTACGCAAAAATTCACATCAATCGACAAGAGAACTTGCAAAGAAAATAGAATGTTTTCAGACTTTAAACATTAAAAAAAATTTAAAAATAGGAACTTAAAATTTTTTTATTTAAAAATAGGTCCTAAAAAATGGAATTTAAATAGAAACTAATAAAAGAACTTAGTAGCCAACCCAATATCTTTTAATATTAAAATATGGTAACTAAGCTCACTGAAACATATTTCAATAAGTAAAATAATGCAAAAATATTAGTTACTTAATAAGGAGAGAAAAATCACATAATTCTTTTTAAGATAACAAAGAAGTAGAATAACTTTTCTGAACTTTAAGATCAGATTGTGATCTCATTTGCAACTTTTTTATCTTTAATTCGGCGATCATAAATTTGATTTAGAATTTTCTAGTTATGAAACCTGACCTTATAAATCTGTAGCGTATTATGCAATAATAAAAAAGCAGTCGGAAAGAATTTAAAAAAAAAAATACATCAGGTAAAAACTTGCTCAATTAGAAACAAAACAAGTTTCGTGTAGCTCTGCAGCTAAATCTGCAGCATTCGTGATTTAATAAAGCACAATTTTGAGGTCAAGAGAGGCTAATTGGAGTGTCTTAACAGAGATTCCTAATCAAACTTATTTTTCATTTATGATGCGTGACTTAGTCGGATAAAATCCTTATTTCAGTTTATGTATGTGATAAATAAAGATAAATATTGTTTTGATAAACTGTTCTACACGATTATGCAGCAAACATAAAAAAAATATTGAATATTGTAAGTTAGGTAAAATTTACTTTTCTAAAGTTCGTGAACTTTCATGGAGAAACAAAATTTATCATTCCTCAATTAAGGAAGTTTCAGACAATTAGAGTTTTATAAAATTTGAAGTTTCATAACGAGAGCAAAAATTAATTAATTGACAAAAGCAACTTTGTGAAGTTTGAATTTTTAATATTAAATTTCACAAAAGTCCTTCATATTAAGATTTGTGACTTAATGTGGAGGACCGAAATCGATCATTCTTCAATCAAGCATATTTTATGAAATTCAAATTGTTTTAGATTCATGACTTTATATGGAGAATCGAAATTGATCATTCTTCAATCAAGTAAATTTTATGAAATTCAAATTGTTTTAGATTCATGACTTTGTATGGAGAATCGAAATTGATTATTCTTCAATCAAGTAAATTTTATGAAATTCAAATTTTTTTAGATTCATGACTTTATATGGAGAATCGAAATCGACCATTCTTCACTGAAGTACATTTTATGAAATTCAAATTTTTTTAGATTCATGACTTTATATGGAGAATCGAATTCGATCATTCCTCAATCATTCAAACTTTGATAAATTTTACTTATTAAGATTTTTAATTATATATGTAGGACCGAAATCTATCATTCATCAATCTCACAATTTTTGTGAAATTTATTTATTTATTTTAAGATTTATAACTTTATATGGAGAACCGAAATCGATTATTCTTCAAGCAAAACAAGTTGTGAAATTTTAATTTTCTATGAAATATATGACTTTATATGGAGGGACGATATCGATTACTTCTCAATCAAGCAAAATTTATGAAATTAATTTATTTATTTTTAAGATTTGTGACTTTATATCCTGGACCGAAATGAGTCAAACAAATCATGGAAAACTTACATTTTATAAGAGTTGTGGCTTTTTCTGGAGGATTAAAATAAATTATACTTCAGTCATGCAAATTTAGTGTATTTAGACTTTTAATTAGTTTGTGACCCTTTATGGCGGATTGAAATTGATTATTGCTCATTCAAGTATTTATATATATAAACACATAAAGTTTTTTCTTTCCAATAAAAATACACTCTAGAATCCACATATATGACACATCACTTCTTTTCTTACTTTATTCGCGCTGCTGTAGTCCCAGCACAAATACAGGGGCTGTAAAGATGGTGGCCTAAGTAAGAATAAGGAAGACCCGATTCGACTTCTTAAAGAGATTGAGACACTCACTCAACGCAAATACAGCAGTACGCCCCCCCCCCGCACACTCAGTTCCCCGCATTTCTACACATCAATGCTTTCTACACATGGATGTCGAAAACAAAAATGAAGAATAAAATAAATCTCATAAAATAAGACTTCTCAAATATTCGTTTTTATTATTGGAAAATACGGAGATTTCAATGCAGCCGAAGGCTGTGTTAATTCAGTTAAAAGGTTAGCACTTTTCTTTTTTTCACATCAAAAAGATCCTCTCTTTCTATCATCATTCCTTTCTTTCCAATCCAAACTGCTTTCAACCCCCCCCCCCCTTGTCGTCAAACCCCCCACCACCACTCTTCTTGTCTTGGCTATAAGCTTTTCACAAAAGTCGGCGATTAAAAATCGGTAAATGAAATGTTGACATGGTGTTTCGTGAAATCGGTTTACTGGGAATGAGGTTTGCAATTAGTAGCTCGATAAAATTGTTTGGCGTCTCTTTTTTTACCGGATGGGTTCTTTTCACCGCCAAGTAAGAATTGATGTTAGAATTGGCAGTCACTTAGCTTTGCGAACGAAATGTATTTTTGTTTTATCGATTCTTATTTGGCTAATAAATAATTTATTTGCTTTAGATACAATAATTGAAATATGAAGATGTATTATTAATTTTTAGCATTAAAAAGATAATTGAACGAATAACAATGAATTATTTAAAATCCCATACAATTTAAGAGCTTAATGTGAGAACATGTTAAACCCTGTTTTGGAAACACTTAAAACATATTATGGTTGATTTTAAACATAAATCATCAATTTGTTTGGTAAAGTATTCTTAACGACAGATTCTATAAATAATTTGTCTCAAATTCAATCTGATATGTTAAGCTATATTTTGAAACACTATAGTTTTAAAACTTAATAGGTTTGACTTCAAACATACAACATTATTTTGATAAAGTTTCAGATAAGGTAGTGGAGGAAAAACTTTGTACAAATAGTTACTGGCTGTTTCATTACACTCCAAAAAGTTTATTTTCCTCGGTTAATTCTCTATAAAACATGTTTAGTGATAGTTTCAGAACACTAAAATTTGAAAACATGCTATGGTTGACAATAAACAAAGAACATTCTTTTTTCTGCCAGCAAATTCTTTAGATAAGATGATTTTCACCGAAACAGAATCAAACTTCACAAAACAAACTTTCACAGAAGAAAATTTAACAAAAACAGCTACCTGTTGTTCTTTATGTTCCAAAAATAAATTTTCTCAGATTGCACACACTGTAAAAAATTTTGGTGTATAGTTTCCACCATTTTTGTGCAAAATAAAACTTTTTATTTACCTTTTTACTATTATAGTTTTATTTATACTTTTTTTTTTGGTTATTAACTGAGACAATGCATATTATTATGTGCATTAGAATCAATTTAATGTATTCATTGTAAAAATATATAATAATGTATTCGCACTAATACTTTCAAACTATTGTTTATTTGTAAATATTTATATCTTTTTTTGCACTGTAAATACACTTCTGCATTTAAAAATGTATTTAGTTTACCTCAATATCAAAAATGATAGCAACTATACATCAAAATGCTTTACTGCAAGGAATATTTTAGGTATTATTTTGAAAAATTTAAATTTTAAAACATATAGGGAACTACAAACATAGAACGTTAATTTATTTTACAAAGTTCTTAGATAAGGCAATCTTTAACCAGAGAGAAAAAAACTGAAATAAACAGCTACTGTTCGCTAACTTACGACCTAAAAATAATTTTTTCAAGGTTCCACTAAATATGTTAAGCCAAATTTTAAAAACACTAAAATTTAAAAACATATTACCGTTGAAATATAAACATAAAACACTAATTCTTTTTTTTTCCTTGAGTCTTTAAGTGAGATAGTTTTCAACGAGGGAAGAATACTTAATATAAAAAGCCCAAACGAGAAAAGAATTGCTATAAGCAGCTTCTGGTTGTATCCTTACGATCGAAATTTTTTTCCTGATTCAACTCAATATGTTAAGCAAAAATTTGAAAACACTAAAATTTCAAAATATGTTAATTTTGAATATAATGATGGAACGCTAACTCTTCTTTTTTTCCTCAAGTCTTTAAATGAGATGATTTCCAACGAGAGAAGAAAACTTAATGTAAACAGCCCAAAAGAAAAAAACTTATATAAACAGCTACTGGTTGTTTCTTTATGGCCAAAAAATATTTTTTTATGTTTCCACTCAATATGTTAAGTGATATTTTGTAAACACTAATATTTAAAAGCATATTAAGATTGGCTGTAAACATAGAACTTCATTTTATTATAGTAAGTCTTTAAATAAGGCGGTTTCCAGCAGAAGGAGAAAAAAGCTTCATATATATAGATTTAAGTTGTTTATTTCTGCATAAAAGGAGTTTCTGTAGTAAAGAATTTTCTTGCAATCTCACTTAACATGTTTTTTCATCAAGCCCTTCAATTATAAATCATGGGAAAAAAAGTTTTAAAAAAATCACTTACTTGCTTATGCATCTCGACGTTGAGGCCGTACGACATTTCGTAATACTGAAAATAGATTAAAAATTTATATGAAACATAATTTTTCATGATAAAAAACTATTTTAAGAAAGTCTATATAATTTATAGTGAGAAGTAAAGTAAATAGTTATACACTGTAAAAGCACTGGCACTATGGGTATTTCTTACTGCAAAATCGATTTTTATCGTAAAATATTATATCGCAATTTTTACAGTAACGTTTATTTAATTAGAGTAATTCAGTGATTTAACGGTATTTATTACTGTAAAATTTTCAGTATATCAGGTTTTTGGTTCAATGATATGCTTCGGTAAAAATGGATTTTACGGTAAAAAGAACCGGCACCCTGAATACTGGCACTTTTCACTGTAATTTGAACCAAAAAGCCTTAATTCTAGTTAATAAAACCAAAATATACTGTACTTAAACTATTCATTTAACAATTTCTCCGTTCATATGTAAACGGTTCAGCAGAATTTTTGGCATTCAAAGTTATAGTTCTTATTACCAGACATCTAGTAAAAAAATACATAACTGAAAAGTAAATTTAACCGACTAAATGGTTTTTATGCCATTCTTTAAGATATCATGATAAGGTTACTCAGCTTTACTGCATTTAAAAAATTCTATCCTACATTATAATACCACATTTCATTGCTTATTTCACTAAAATCATTACCTTAGTGCTTTTGTAAAAATTAGCGATATTTGTGGTGTTCCCATAGTGTCAGAAACACAGAAAATGTTACTATATTCTGACTGTTGGCCATATTTTTTTCTTGATGTAATATTTCATTTTGTTGCAATATCAATTCTTTGTGTTTAAATACTCATTAAGGGCCAAGATCACCCAAAAAAAATTTTAAAAAAAACTGGTTACTCAATAATTACATTTTTTGAAGCTTAGCTTTGAAAAAAAAAAGCATTGGCATTGATCATATTATTAATCACAATCTAACCAACGCTAAAAAATACGAAATTAGTCAAAAACGAACTTTTTACACAAACTTCTTACAACGGTAAAAAAAGAAACGTTTGCACAGTTGTAATTCGAAAATTGTTTAAGATTCAAAATTTAATATTTTATTGTATGAGACAACAACAACAGTAAAACACTTCTTACAACAGCAAAAAACGTTGCGTTTTCGCAGCTGTAATTCGAAAATTCCAACCACAACAGAAAAACACTTTTTACAACAGCAAAAAACGTTGCGTTTTCGCAGCTGTAATTCGAAAATTCCAACGACAACAGAAAAACACTTTTTACAACAGCAAAAAACGTTGCGTTTTCGCAGCTGTAATTCGAAAATTGTTTAAGATACAAATTTTAATATTTTATTGTGTGAGACACGCAATAAATAATAGTCTAATATTGATAAATTGTGTTAATACTATAGAATACATATGATACAGAATACTTATAAATACACTAGCTTCTGCAGTAATTATGATGTTAAATAATACTAAAATTCATCAGAAACTTACCATGACGTAATGCCTTTGCATTTCTGTCTTCTCACTAGCTAATTTTTCACACTCGAGTTTTAGGCTGAAAAAAAGTTAAAAGCTTTCAATAAGAAGTTTAATCATTTTAAAGTAAAAATTTAATTAAAATTTTTAATACTAACTTTAAGTGAAAATGTTTTATAAATGTTTTTAAAAATTAATACTAGTATGGAACTTTATAGAAAATTAATAAACCGAAAGTGTTCATGACTTTCGCTAATCAAATGACAAATTTATTACAAAAAGTACAGCAAAGCATTCACGCAACAGCCTGTTTTTGCCCAATGGATCATGGTTAAGTTTAAATCCCTTAAAAATTGTGCCATCGCAGCTCGTCTATTACTGAACCTAACATATCAACAAATGTTATTTAGACATTCAGGTCATTTAACCTTTTAGTGCGGTTATAACCTTATATTGTGTAAGCGTTTCAAAATGAATTTTGAAACGCTTATTTAAATCCTATACCACAATTAGGATGATTATTTAAATCCTATACCACAATGGTCTTTTCTTAACTTGCTTACTATGTATAATGACTCTATATGTTTCAGAATTAAAACTGCAGACGAATTAACGTTTTCCTACTCGTTCGATTCCAAGAACTGAATCGGACATGGAAAATTTGCCAATTAGGTTACTTAGGATATCGTAACAGATATCCTATATTAATTGCAAAATCGAGACAATATGGCATTGGTTAATTTTATTTGTGAAACATATCTAACTAAGCATTTTTAACTTACCTTTAGCTGAACGCAATACTTCAGCTATTTTCAAATCTCTAACATTTACAGCTCATTATAATCTCCATATAACACAATCGGAAATGCCTTAAAATTGTGTTCGCAATTCAGGGAGTAGTTATATAGAATATTTGATTTCATTTTAAATTGTGAAGTTAATGTAGTTTATAAACACATTTTAACGGAAGGTATATTGTAAGTGTCAGTGCAATTTAGAATTCTTAATATTCGTTATGACTTAAGGTTTTGAAAAGCTAAAAACGCTATTTTAACAGAAATACCAAAATAGCACAAACAAAATTAACCTCAGCTATTTTGTCTCGCTGCCACATAAATGAACCTGACTATACAATAAAATTCACCATCAAAACACACAGTCAAGAAATAAGTTACACGGTTATAGATAGAAAGCATACACCAGGGGTTTCTTAACAGGTTTCAGTACACTAAAAAGATCAGACATACATTCTTTGTATCAAGAAAATCTGACAGAAACGGAGTATTCTGCATTGCAAATTAATCAGATAATATATTTCTTTATTCTTAGATTGAGTGAAATTTATACATTCTAAAAAGAGGCTTTCTGGAGGCTGTTTAGTCCCTTTAGAAGATTCATCAGTGCACCTGCTGGATCGATATCGTCAGTCATAAATAATGGAAGCAGCCGATGAATTTGGGAATATCTCCCCCACCCCCGCCACTTCAAATAAGTAAATAAAGAGCGTAGTTAAAAGGCTTTTATTTTTACGCGAAATTTTTTTTCTTACTCTTTTAAATATGCGAGATTCAAATATTCTCATCAAGCGCTTTCTAATATCCTACGGTTAGAAGGTTCATTAAAATATATTGCCAAGCCTTACCCGCGAGCATAGAATAGAAAAAAATTACTCTTCCCCCCAGAATACCGCTTCAGTGCCCCCCTACGTCTCATGAAGACGTAGAGAAAAAAAACTGCCCTAGGACACGAAGAGATTCGGTGGATAGAAAACTGAAAGACTAGAGGGAGGAGCAAATGAAAAAAAAAACAGCTACTGTTTTTTTTCTCTTCCACCTTCTAATGCAAGGAGCGAAGCGGCCCTTGTTTTTTTACGCTCTTAAAATCTTAAAAAACCATGTTTGTATTTTAAAAACCATTAATGACTAAGCTCTTTTTTAATTTTTTTACCCCGTCTCTAAATGAAAGGAGAGACAAAAAAGAAGGGGGCAGTAGAAAAAAAAATCGTTTGTGGAAGTAGCGCGTGGGGGTGGGGCAGAGCGAGCGCGAAATGAAGACGCAGACACGAGCAGTAATGAAAAACAGCCGGCCAAAAAAAAAAAGAGGGGGTTAGAAAGAAAAAAAAACATTTTCCAAATGACGATGGTTGAATGTAGAAAGAAAGAAAAAAAATTAGAATGAAATGAGGGTGGGGTGGGGAATGTGAAAAAAAAAATTGTATGTATACCCGGGCAGCGCCCTTACATCGTTTTTAATAAGAACATTCGTTAAAAAAGAAACGAATGCGAAGTTTTTATGAGAGGCAAAATACTTAATGGGGAAGAAAGTCGTTACGGTCTGAGGATGTAGCAACAACAAAAAAAGAAAAAAAGAAAACTTGTTAAGAGATGCAAATGCATTTCGATTAGAAAAACTCATTAACGAAGGATGGTACACGCCCTCGCCCCCTAGTCCCCCCCGCAACTGGGCGCCAGAATCCTTGTCCTCTCGTGCGCTAGTGACACGTGTTTGTGCAACTTCGCATGTCCCACCCCCACAATCCGACTCTTCCTCTTATTAAAAGAAGTTTATCCCCCACCCCCAAACAAAAAAAAGAGGAGGATTTGTTTTTTCTCTCCTCTTTTACTTCATCTTCTTTTAATTCCCTCTTCTAAGTGAGAGCTGAAAAAAAGTCTCAGCCCCCCCCCCCATTTTAATTCCATGCTTTTTCGTCCAGGAAGGACCAATGATTCTGCAGTTGAGGCAATCATATGCAGAAATTTGGGCAGTACTACTTTGCGAAAGGGGGGGGTTCTAGTTATTATGGATTGATTAACAAGAGGGGGTGGGGGATGTTATAGCAACTAATAATGAGAATCGAAACTTTTTTATGAGAAATAATGAGGAATTATCTTTCAACACAAAATTCGATGTCTGCATTTTTGTTTGGTTCAGTGATCAATAAATTCTTTAAATTTGAGAGAGAGTTTGAAAACGGAACAGCGATGGTTTAATTTTAATTTCATAATTTCTACATCAATGTGTTTTGATAAAAAAAAAAACGGCAGAAAATATTTAAACGAAAAGCAGGAAACTTAAATAATGCTAAAATAAATTTAAAATACGCAAGTCTAGTGAAAAAAAATTTTTTTTAATGTTTTAACAATTTAAAAGATAATGATAATTATGATGCGGATGAAATGAAATAATAAATTAAATTTGTTAATTGTGTTTGTAATTGTACAATGCGTAGGAAATATCACTGAAATTAGTTCGCAAAAATTATTGCATTGTTCATTATACTAAATTGAAAAAAAATAGTAAGGATGATACAGAGATTCTTCAGCACTTTCAGCCACGTATCCAAACACTCAGCGAAATATCCAACAGCGCAGTCTCGAGTAAGTGAGTAATTACTTGTGCACTGCGAATTTATTTAATTAGAGGAGTACAGAGAGATGCGCAAAATCTCTCTAATATAGAATATGTTAATAGGATAACGGTTATAAAAAAATAGTGATAAATAATAATAATAATAAAGAATGATAATGATAAAAAAGAAAAATGAGTTAGAAAATAATAATGAAATAATAATGTGGTAATAATGAACGGATAATGTAGGACATATAATATTGCTTCAATTTTTATTTAAAATAATTTAAAAATTGCAGAAATTTATGTGAAAGTATGTTTTCCTGGTTTAATATAAAAAAAAACTAAAACCAATTTACTAATAAAAAAATAAAAAAAATGTTTTAAAAATGTACGATATTTCTTAAAAATCATTTTAAATTTTATTAAAGGAAATTAATTTAAAAATGGTCCAAATTTATATATATATTTTTTTAATTTTACGATGCTCTGTAATTTAAAAAAAAAATAAAATTAGGTTTTTTTTTAATAAATTGCTACGTATATCTCATATCTCTCATATCATTACACAGATACCGATAGCGATTAAATTTGATTGTATTATACAGTAATAGTTTTCTGTACATCACACATCAAACCTACACCTTATTTATAATTTTAAATGCACTTTAAATTTAATTGCCAAACTATTTTCATTAACTTAATTTAAATGAATGAAAAGTAAAATTTAAAATAAAATGCAAGTTAAATATTTATATTATATAAATACTTTTCTTATTTAACCTTTTAAAGCCTTTTAAATTTTTTAAACGTTTATTGAAGTATGTTAAATTATTCAGTATTTACATACATTAATGAACTTTTTGAAAGTAGAAAATAAATATTTAAACACAAACTGCAAAGTAAATAACGAGAGAAAACATACGTGTTATAAATGTGAAAAAAATAAAAGGAAAAAACTGAAACAGTTATAAAAATTAAAAAAGTTATCACTCACCTGACTGTGTCTCTGGAACCGATGAGCGATTCCGGAACAGACAGGTTTTTGAAAAAGAAAAGAAAACATATTAAACATTAATAACAATAATAATAATAATAATAACAAATTTGGAATAATAAAGCATAAAACATAAAATAAACAAAAATTTCCAATACACCTTATTTATTGCATTAAATTAGGGGAGTTATGCAAGAATTTTCTTGAGAGAAACCTCGAAAATTTACTTTTCCAGTATTTATATTGTAAAATTATAGTATTTAATATAGTATTTATTATTAATAAAGAATTTTATTATTAATAAAGAATTTTATTTTTATTATTAATCCGCTTAATTAGTTTTAAAGTGGAATTCACAAAATTTGAAATTGATAAAATTGGTGCAGTTCTATCAACGAATATTATAATTAAAATATTCCAATTCAACAGTATTCCAATTTACAAATATTCCAATTTCGTTTGTTATTCATTTTCATTTATCATATTTATTTTCATTTTTGATTTATCGTTACTCTTTTTTATAACATTAATTTAAGATGAATTGATAAATCGTATGTTTTTATTTTATATACTTGAGCTCGAAAAATTCCATCGACGATCAATATAGTTGATGTCGTTAGTGATAAATGGAAAGAAAAAAAAACATTTTTAATTTTTAAATCAGTGTATCAAAAAATCAATAAAGCGTCAAATCAATAAAGCGTTTTTAAGCGTCAAATTACGATATTTAAATTATCGTATACGTCATTAGTGTGAGTGTTGATAAACTAGATTTGGATTTTAAAAATAATATAAATTAGTTATTTAGGAAATAATTGCGATATATGGTGAAATATCAGTATTTTGTAACGATATATCACGATATAATGATCCCTATATCACTGAGCACTAGACTTGTTAAACCGTAATATTATTATTTTAACTTAACCCTTTAACCCCCGGATATTTTACATGGCGTGACGCAAAAAAATTCTTATTAAAAAGCGGTTCTTTTCTTAATTAATAATATATTCTTCTGTTAACTACTACTTAATTTCTCGAAAGAATACAAAACATTTGCTTAATGTAAAAACAGTCCTGTTTCAAATAAGAAGATTTCTTGCAATTCGCGTGACATATTGTCACGCTACACTTCAATTAAATAGAAATAATCACTTTTGTATACTTCCTGTTTTCGTTAAAACAACACTTAGGTATTTTATTAAATAATCATTTCATTTTCTTCTTATTCTCAAGTTAAAAAAAAGGGGGGCAATTTTTTTTTTTTTGAATGCCCCTATGACTAATGAAACTCAAAACTAACTTTTTATTCAAAAACCATTGGTTTATTTATTCCATTCTCCAAAACTCGACAACACTCCAATATCGATACACCAAACGATTTTCAATTTTAAAAAAAGAAACTCAACCCCAAAAGGGCTCCTCAAATTGTTCCACTGAGTCTAAAAGAATTGCTTCGCGATTTAAACAACTCAATCCGATCGATTCGCAGACAAACATTCGTTTTTAAATCGTTTTAAAGGTGAGCCGTTTTCCGCCAAGACCAAAATATTCTTCAATTCAAAGAAGTCAATACGCTTATTGTCGCAGCAAAACTAATTATATTTCGTTCTAGAGTCAGTTAAATGATATGTCTCGTCAACAACCCCTAAGGCAGGAGGAGCTCTGAAGAAAAAGGTTATATGTATCGTTTTCTTCGAACTCCATGGACGCTTAATTAACGCGAAAATGCCAAGTATCTGATCGTGGTAGCACAAAAAGTTATGTTGACACTGAAAGAATCATAGCGTTTTGATTGTATAAAAGAAGAAAACACAGCGCTTGTCAAGGAACAATTGAGCAAATTTTCAAAGTTATCTCGAAGTTAAGAAACATATATTTTTATTTATTTAGAGTTTTTTGTGAAAGAGTTTGTTATTTCTGGAAGCTCCGTTTGGGGAATAGGGAATTTTGTGCAAATAGTAATTATTTTTCCCAGATTCGGTAAACGCGTGGAATAAACTTACCGTGTTGTTTTTAATTTAACCCAATATATTTTTTTTGTTATGATTTGTATTATATATTGTATTGAAATATTAATCAAACTGGGATTGGATTGAAGGAGCAAAAAATTAATAGTTGATGTTAATTAAAATTTTGTATTATTTATTTAATGCTCGAAATAATGTGTACAAAATAATTTTAATTAAAAATTTATCACAAAAAGATTTATTGTGAGCAAAAAATAATTCTGCAGCTAAAGTATTTCTGCTTTTGTAGCATTGTTTATTAATATTGTTTTTCATAATTACACACTCAATTACTACAACTATTTAAAATAAATCTGAATATTAAATTTTTATATTTTATTAAGATGCAATTGGTTTCATTGATAAATATCACACAAACAATTTCATAATATAAGAATGATGTGAAAGAAAGTTCTTAGCTACATTTTTGAAAAAAGTTTGAAATTCCGGGGAAATTTTATTTTCGTGAAATTTAACTATGCAATAGTAATTTACTATGGCAAGGCTTTTAGTTGCTCACTGTACAGAAGAAAAAGATGAAAACACTAAGCATAAGTAGATAATTTTAGGAGTGGAAGAAGGTTCTAAGTGCATTTAGTAACAAACAGTCAATGAGTATCTTAGAAAATCTGTCTTTGGCAGTAAACTTCCAAGTATGCAAACTCAATGACGTGAACAATTTAAATGAGTCTTGATGATTAATAGATTTCGCCAAATAAAGGCTTAAACTCGAAAAATGAATAAAATGCATGAATTTATTTCATATAATTCAAACACATAATATTTTATGATATTCTAAACAAATTTACCAAAATGTTACTTAAAATCTTCATACACTTAGCTCTTCAATTAAAAGGTAGATGTGCAGTCTAAAATAATAGTTCCAGAAAAACCCGATTTGAAATGCACAGAAATATCAGGTACCAGTTTGAAAAATGTGTTTTTCAAGTGAAAATAGTTTAATTGAAATGCTGAATAAAATAAATCAGATTCATTGACTTTTCCAAATAGTAATATATTGTTTTTATTATCAATTTTATTATTAATAACTTTATACTAATCATAGTAACAGTATCAATATAGAACTAACAATTTTACTCAGCACTGTTGTTATTCAAAGAAGAATTAGAAAAATATATGATTTGGAAATACACATCTAATCTACTTAAAAATAAAATGTTTCATTAGACGTTTAGGATAAAACCTAAACGTCTGATTAAATTTAATTTATTTCATTTATAAGTAAATAATCAAGAAATATTTAAGGGATTAATTTTCTTTGTCAAAATTTTACAATTAGTAAAATTGTTTTACTAACAATTTTATAACAATTTTAATATTAATAATTTTGAATTAATAATAGTAACAGCATCAATATAAAACAAATAGTTTATTCAGCACTGTTGTTATTCAACGAAGAGTTAAAAAAAAGATATAATTTGGAAATATACATCTAATCTACTCAAAAGTAAAATATTTCCGTAAACGTGTAGCATAAAAAGTATGACTAAGTTTTAAGTTTAATTTATTTCATTTATAAATAAATAATCAGGAAAAAATCACGATATTCATTGTCTTTTTCAAAACAGTAATATTGTTTTTATTAACAATTTTATTAATAAAATTTTATTATTAAAATTTTATTATTAATAATTTTATTATTAATAATATTATAAATAATGATAGTAACAACATCAATATAGAACTAACAATTTTACTCAGCACTGTTGTTATTCAAAGAACAATTAAAAAAAGATATGATTTGGAAATACACATCTAATCTACTTAAAAGTAAATGTTTCTTTAAACGTTTAGGATTAAAAGTATGATTACATTTAATTTATTTCATTTATAAATAAATAATCAGGAAAAAATCACGAGATTCATTGTCTTTTTCAAAATAGTAATATTGCTTTTATTAACAATTTTATTAATAAAAGCTTATTATTAATAATTTAATGGTAATGATATTAACAACATCAACATAGAACTACAATTTTACTCAGCACTGTTGTTATTCAAAGAAGAATTTTTTAAAAAAATGTATGATTTGGAAATATCCATTTAATCTACTCAAAACTACGCTATTTTTTTCTCTCCCACAGCATTAAACAGTGAAAGGATGAAGAGATTTATAAAGGTTTTGACTTTACTCCGGGGATGTTGGAGTTTACATTTCTTTCTTTCTTTTTTCTCTCGATAAAACTTTCTTTTAAACTGTTTCGACACATAAGTTTTATTTATATTTCCTTAATAATCCGGATTAACTGCTCAACTTTTTGACCAGGGCTGTGCAGTCGGAGTTGCAGTTCAGACGACGCTATAACTAAGGAGAAAGTTTTCATCACAAATTCTGTTTCACCTTCATAACTAATTTAAAATTTAAAGTATAGAAGAATTGAGTTCAGGCAATCCTAGAGCAAGGCATGAAGTATCAATTGCTAAAAAGAAATTAAAATATGAAAAAGCTAACCAATTATTAGAAGAGAACTTCCCCATCGCGTAATCCAAAATTATCCTCTCATAATTTGTTTTCGCTTTGAGTTTTAATTTTGAGCAAGGCATGAAGTATCAATTGCTAAAAAGAAATCAAAATATAAAAGCTAACCAATTACTAGAAGAGAACTTCCCCATCGCGTAATCCAAAATTATCCTCTCATAATTTGTTTTCGTTTTGAGTTTTAGTTTTGAGCAAGGCATGAAGTATCAATTGTTAAAAAGAAATTAAAATATAAAAAAAGCTAACCAATTATTAGAAGAGAACTTCCCCATTGCGTAATCCTAAGTTATCTTCTCATAATTTGCTTTCATTTTGAGTTTTCCTTTTGAGCAAGGCATGAAGTATCAATTGCAAAAGAGAAATCAAAATATAGAAGCTAACCAATTACTAGAAGAGAACTTCCCCATCGCGTAATCCAAAATTATCCTCTCATAATTTGTTTTCCTTTTCTTATTTTGAAAAATTCTTTTCAGTATTGAAACTTCATGCCTTATTCTAGGTTC